TTTGGGGATAGAACAGGAAGGGGTCGGGAGGGTGGCCACCTGTCTGTGAGGAGACTATGTTGCTTCCCCTCCCCTTGAACCCCCATTCCTCTGCTTCTCTAATCCTGCCAGCTCCTGGTGTGGAGGGGGCTTGTTTGTGTGTGTGTATGTGTGTGTGTGTGTGTGTGTGTGTGTTGCTTTGTGCAGCCTCTCCACAGGAGGGGGTGTCCCTGCTCCCCTTCCCTTTTTGTGTTTGCTCCCTGTATGGTCAGACCAGGAGGGATATGAGGGAAATGGGGACCCCCTCATCCTCCTGTCTAAGTCTTTCCCCCACCCTATCTCTTCCCTGCCCTTCTCTGGAAAATGCCAAAATACATGATGTGAATAAAAGTACAATGGTTACATTGTGTCCTGTTTGATACCTTGGAGACTTCCCTTCCCTGGGGCTAGCAGGAGGGCCAGTGTCCAAAAACTCCCAGCCCTGCCCTGGCCGGTTTGGCTCAGCGGTTAGAGCGTCCGCCTGCGGTCCGGAGAGACCCGGGTTCGGTTCCTGCTAAGGGCATGTACCTTGGTTGCAGTTTGTCCCTGGCCCTGGTTGGTCGTGCGGGTGGCAGCCACTCGATGTGTCCCTTTCACATCGATGTTTCCCTCTCTCTCTCTTCCTCTCTCTCCCTCCCACTCTGTCTGTACAGAAAAATGTCCTCGGGTGAGGATTAAAAAAAATAATAATAATAAAACAAAAACTCCCAGCCCTGCCCCTTCCGTAGGCAGTTCTCTGCTCTTCGGGAGTTTTGGAGCTCTTGGGAAATTGAGGGTGAGGTGAGTGCTAGGGACTGTCACATGAGGGAAAGTGGAGGGGAGTGACAGAGCAAAGCTGGGGGTGGGGGGTAGGGGAGAGCCCATCCTTCCAGCAATCACACACACTTCCACCAGGGGCCCCAAGTGAGTATTTCCCAAATGTCCCTGGTGGCTAGGGAGCCCTGGCCCCAGGCCCTGCAGTCTCTTGTCAGGCCTTGGCCAACTAGAGCAAAAAGTGGGATACTCTTGAAGGAGGGATTCTGAACTGCCTCTTTCTTAGTTGTACAGTTTCTGTGCCAATGAACCCTGTCACTTGTCTAATAACTGGGCTAGACTTACCCTGCGTGGGTCAAAGTTGCCTGCTCAGCAATCAGGTATATAGCTACGTGGATGTGGGGAGCTCCTTTTCCCAGAGTTGGAAAGATGCTCCTCAGAGGCCCCTCAGTCCCCTGAGTAATGTGGTTTAGGCCAAGCAGTCGGAGTGGTCAGATGCGCCAGCCAGTTCACCTGGGAACCACTGCTGGCGCCCTGAGAGCTGTAGTCTTGTAGTGACGGTTCCCCGAGCACAGGGGTTCATAGTGCTCGCCCACTCCCGAGTCAGGCAACTGAGGCTAACGCACTGAGCCCCGTGCCCCTAGAACGTTGCTACAAGAAGAGGGGTAACGTCAGAACAGTGCCACAAGGGCGGCGGGCGGGGCGGGGGGAAGGGCTTGCAGGCGGGGCGGGCTAACCATGGCAGAGGAGGCGGAGTTCTGTCTCACCGCGCTGTATATAAGCGGACAGTGGCCGCGGCTGCGCGGTGATCCTGACCTTCAGTGTGTCGGCTCCAGCACCATGGCGCCCTCCAGGAAGTTTTTTGTGGGGGGGAACTGGAAAATGAATGGGCGGAAGACGACTCTGGGGGAACTCATCAGCACTCTGAACGCAGCTAAGGTGTCGGCCGACGTCGGTGAGCCACACTGGGGTGGGGTAGGCATGGGAGGGGAGGGCGGGGAGGGCAGCGCCCTCTCCCGAGCTACCGGGAGTCCGTAGACGTGGGTGCAGGGCTGAGGACGAAGGCTGCTGGGGATCTGGACATTGACCCCGCAGCGCCATGGCCCCGCATCGGCAGTACCGGGGGTGGCTCGAGGGGGAAAATCAGGGCCACATTTAATGGTGCCCTCAGATAATCGGGCGGGAAAGGACTTTCTGGGTCTTCGGGAGGAAGATGGCCCCGAGGTGCGGACGGGGCTGCACCCCCAGGAGCTGGGCGTGGGAGCGGAAGCTAGCTCCAGCGGGCGATCGGGCGAGGCTGGCTGCAGCCCGGGAGTTGGGAGGTTGTGGGAAGTGGAGGCGGCTGAGTGGGCGTACTTGCCTCCAGCTACCTGCCCCCTCAGCCGAGCTCCGTGCGCCGCTGCACGTAGCCCGAGACTCCTCCCCGAGCCATGCCGTGCGGGCGAGTTCCCCCGTGCGCTGCTTCGGCCTCCGGACCTCCCTGCTCTGATCCTTTACCATCGGCAGCCTGGATAAGTCCTGCCTTCTGCAGAATGGGACTGAGCAGGTGCCAAACAGGCTGAGCCATTTGGGAATGAGGTGCGATACTACGGGTTTCTCCAATCTGGAACCGGGAAAGCGCAGGGCCTCTATGAGCCAGTCACCTCCCTGCTTACCTACCGGCAGAGTGCTGTCTTCAGCCCTTCCCATCCACCTAAATCACAGAACCACAGGCCTGATCAGAACAGGCATCTCCTTCTGGTTTATTCCCCAGGGCCCCAATATCAACCCAGAGTTGGCTTCTTATGCTTTTGTTAAAAATCCTTGTTTTGCCAGTGGGAATTGTTTTAGAAGGGAGGCTGGGTTGGCCCCCAGAGAATGCTGAGTCTAGGAGGTGCCCAGGCCCAGAATAGCCCAGGGAAATCAGAGCCTCAGCTGTTAAAAGAGCAGAGGGCAGGGCCATGGCCTTAGGAGCACCGGGAAAGCTATAGGAATTGGAAACAGGCCCAATCTGGGATCCGGACAAAGATCATCTTGCTGGGGTGAAAAGGGGAGGAAAACAGAACTAAGAAAAGCTGGTGAAGGCTAGGGAATTCTAGAGCAGTGGATGGAGTCTGGAGAATGAAGACTTCCTTGTGATCTCATCCTCAGAGGTGGTTTGTGCACCCCCCACCGCCTACATTGACTTCGCCAGGCAGAAGCTAGATCCCAAGATTGCTGTGGCTGCCCAGAACTGCTACAAAGTGACTAATGGGGCCTTTACTGGGGAGATCAGGTGAGATACAGGTGGGAGAGGGGGGTGTGGGGATCCTTCGCTCACTTTCCTCACGGAGTGGAAAGCCACAGGTGGGCTCCTTGTGGAACTGTGGCGTTATCTCTTCCTATAGCCCTGGCATGATCAAAGACTGTGGAGCCACATGGGTAGTCCTGGGGCACTCGGAGAGAAGGCACGTCTTTGGGGAGTCTGATGAGGTTAGTAACCAGGAGAAGAGATAAGAGATGCCTTATTCTAAGAGTGGTGTCTCACCAAGTCTGTTCGTCAACAGCTGATTGGGCAGAAAGTGGCCCATGCCCTGGCCGAGGGACTTGGAGTGATTGCCTGCATTGGGGAGAAGCTAGATGAGAGGGAAGCTGGCATCACCGAGAAGGTCGTTTTTGAACAAACCAAGGTCATCGCAGGTATCTCTGAAGGGACTTATGATCCTAGCCAAGACCATGGAGGCACAGAGGGTGGGGTCAGATGCCCTGTAGCTTGACTCGATCCCCATGCTGATAAAAGAAAGGGCAAGATGGGAACCCTTGCATCCTCTCATCATCCATGGTATTGACGCCTCTTGGAGTTCCTTAAACAGCCACTAGGGGGCAGCAGGCAACCCTCTTCTTTATGCCCTTGGTACCAAGCTGGATAGATTCTTCCTGTTCACACTGCCATATGTGATCTCTATCCCACAGATAACGTGAAGGACTGGAACAAGGTTGTTCTGGCCTATGAGCCTGTGTGGGCCATTGGTACTGGAAAGACTGCAACACCTCAACAGGTAACCAAGCCCAGAAGCCCCACCCTCATCGGTAACTACCCTGCCTGGGTAGAACTGGACAGCACAGAGACCATCTGGGCCAACCCTTCATTTTAAAGATAGGAGCCCCCAAACTCAGAGAAGAATGATTTGTTCAAGGACATCCATTCCAGGGCCTGGTGTGTGTGTGTGTGTGAGAGAGAGAGAGAGAGAGAGAGAGAGAAAGCGAGCGAGTGAGAGTGAGCCCTGGTGTTCTGACTGGGATTCCAGAGTTTTTGGGATTACCTGAAACCACATTGCCTCTCCACTGGTGCCCAGGGTTTTTTCCCCCTTTGAGGGAAGGCATAAAGAATCTAAACTTAGTCTGACATCTTGTTCTAGGCCCAAGAAGTACATGAAAAGCTCCGGGGATGGCTTAAGTCCAATGTCTCTGATGCAGTGGCTCAGAGCACCCGCATCATTTATGGAGGTGAGTGGGTTTGGCTCCAGCCTGAGGTGGGGCGGGCTGAGAACTAGACTTGCACCCTCCTTAGACATGGAGGTGGGACTGGAGTATGCCCATCCGATCCCTGACCATTTGTCCTCTTCTCCTTCCCAGGTTCTGTGACTGGGGCAAACTGCAAGGAGCTAGCAAGCCAGCCTGATGTGGATGGCTTCCTCGTGGGTGGTGCATCCCTCAAGCCTGAATTCGTGGACATCATCAATGCCAAACAATAAGCTCCATCCATCACCCCTACCCTTCCTGCTATGCCAAGGACTACAAAGCTTAGAAGCCCAATAACTGCTCCTCCCTCCCCCATCCCCACACATGCTTCTGACGGTATCACCTGCCCCTTCTCATAGCCTAGTCCAAGCTGTGCCTCTCCTTTACCATTTACACCTTTCCCTGTAATGGTTTGGACAACCCCATCTCCATTCACTATGATAATTGGAAAGAAACATGCCATCAAGGTGGTTTCTCCTTGGCTCAGAGGTGGAAGGGGTGGAGTTTGCTCATGGGTCCCCTCAGTCTCCACTGAAGGCAGGAAAGAGAAGCCATCCTCCTCTTGCACCATGGGGCCAAGGGCTGGGAGAGAGCCCTGTCCTCCCTTCAGAGGCCAGGGGTGCTGTTCTCACCCCTGATGCCAACACCTGTGTATGTGAGCAGTCCCACTTGGGGGTGAGAATAAACACCTGGCATTAAGCCTTGTGGTCCATCCTTCATTGTACTTGTTCCCACATCATTTCTCTTTCCTTTTTGAGGCAGTCCCAGGACCCTTGTGCAAAAAAAGACCACAAACAGGTTTTTACAATAGCATATCTCTTATTTGTACTTGAGGGAAAAAAAGTCCTGTGTACCAGGGTGCCACAGCCTGAATAACAGCTCCCTCTCTTCACCTTCAGGCTGTTGAGCTCTCCAGAACTTGGGTTGGGGATAGGGGCAGGGGCCTAGCCTCACTGGCTTCAAGTAGCTGGTCTAAGCCAGCAGTGCCTCCTCCCCTGCCCCTGGGGATGGGTGGCATCAAGGCCCAGCAATCTGGTATCACAGCGTCACTGGTAGAGTAGGTAGCGCTTCATGGCAGGGGGCAAGGGCAGAGCATATACCTGGCCCAGCCGGGTAGCCCCCAGTGCTTGGCGCACGCACAGGCGGCTCAGGTGCAGAAGGGAATGTGGCTCCGCTGGGAGAGAGAAGGAGGGGAAGGTAAGTAGGGGTGCAATCATCAGCTAGACATCCTCAAACTACAGGGTTCCCTTTTGCTCTTCTGCTCTGAGTCTGCTCCTTGATTGAGAAAGATCTAATGCACCCTGAAGTTTTGCATCTGCTCAAGGTGGGAGGCATCACACCCCCAGTCAGAGCTGGGGTGAAGCTCTAGGCCCTCTAAGCAACAGGCCAAAGTGGCTCTGACAGGAGCGGAGCTGGCCCAGGCTGATTCCAGAGAGGCCCTCGAATGGAGCTGATGAGATAAAAGGATAGCCCTCCACCCCACAGCAGCTCACCATGGGTGATGGGAGAAGAGACACCCAGCCTCTGCTGAGACAACTGCAGAGAACAGTTCAACCAACTCCAAGGCCTGGCCTCATTGGTTCCCTAAAAGAAGCCCCTCCCCTGCAGCCCCACCCTAAACCCTGGCTCTACTGCCCTTCCAGGTGTGTGTGTATGTGGTGGAGGGGGGACTCTATGGCTCCTTCCTGGGGTTTGACTGAGGAAGTAGGTATGTATGTGTCACAGGTCAGAGCCCAGGGAATCTGGGTACCTGGCACTGCCTGTTCTCTTCCTTTTGAATTTGTACACCTAACCTGGTATCCATTTAACGCTTTGCACCTCGGATCCAGGAGCTGACAGCTCTTGTAAAGCCCTAATCCCTTGAGTGCCTCCTTCCATTCTGAGGGCTCACTACTTAATAGCAAGTTTCATATCCAAGCCTCACCTTTACCTCTATTGCTGTTGGGAGGATTAAATTAGGTAACAGCTGTGAAGACCCTTAGCCATTCTGGCACTGAATAAGGGGTAGGGAGGTAGTCAGATAAAGGTTCGTTCTCTCTACTCTTGTAAAGTTGTTGAATTTCCAACCCAAACCACAACCACCAGTGATAGAACACTCTCCCACACCTACCCCAGGCCTCACCTCTCCTTTTGCCCAGGTAGCTGATGCGGACCTGGCACTGGCCCCAGACAGCGCTTACTGCCGGATAGAGGGTCCTGCCCTTCAGTCCTCGGAAGGCTGGCCCCAGGTAGGTGCCCTCAATAGCATAGCCCAGAGTTCCCTCCTCCATGTCCAGAACCACCAGCAGCCTCTCCGGCACTTCCAGCTGCTCACTCTGAGGTCTGGCTGGATATTGGGGGGCCCCAGGTCCTTTGCTCTGATGGTACAGCTTCCCCCGCCCAATGTCCCAGCCCCACGACTCGCTGTTGCTGCCCAGCAGCGCCACGTAGTGGTCAGCCTGCAGCGGGGCGAGGGCCGTGGCCACACCCACCACGGCGTGGGTGCCCCTCTGCTCCCGGGGCCAGCTGATTTCCCAGGCGTGCAGGCCTCGAGAGTAGCCCCTCTTACCCCGGGCCCCATCAGTGCTCTGGGCTACGGGCCTCCGCTCAAAACACAATCCCCCTTCCTTGACCTCGATGTTCTCTGAGCAGTCCTTGGGGTTCCAGCCGTGGCGCCGCTGAGTACCCAGGTCAGGAGGGGGAGCAGAAAGCAGTTCCTCCAAGCCTTCCGGACAAGAGTGGTCAGGGTACAAGGCCTGTGGGGTGGAGGAGCTGCTGCTGCCCCCAGCCAGGGCCGTCTGGCCCATGGAGGTGAGGAGCTGGAGGGTTCCCCGAAAGAGTCTTGTTGGGCAGTCTCTCTTCTGCAAGTTGCGCTCCCGTTCGGGACTGACCTGGAGGGGAGTTGGGAGAGAAGAGTGTAAAGTGCGGGGACCTGGCGGGGGCTCCTCACCCATGTACCCCATCCTTTTTACCCGTGTGTCCACTGCCCTGCTCCTCCCTCTCCGCTCCCCGAAAGCTCCTGGGCCCATCACCTTACCCTCACCCATTTGTCCCGGTATCCCGAGACTGGTGAGTTCGCCTCCTTCGGGCCTCTCCAGGAGCCGTCCCTCTCGTCCACCCGGTGCCCGCGTCACCGGTGGCTCCCGAACCTCGCTACGCTCCCCAGGCCGGGAGGTCGCCTGGCCTGAGGAGGAACCCGGCGTTAAGTCACCAAGGCGCGCGGGGAGCAGAACGCCGGGCGCTTCCGCCTCCAGTACCTCCCCCAGGCCTCGCCCCGCCCAAGTCCCCGCCCACGGGCGCCCTCCGGGGCGGTGAACCTTCTCATTGCCTCCCGAGGCCTCGCCCCCGCGGGGGACCCGTCGGGGGAGGTTCACATTAATAAGGTCGCAGCTGCGGAGGGCACGCCCCGCCCGGAGGCCCCGCCCCCGTGAGGATGCCTTCTCCGGCGGTTAATCCTCCTTGCATCGCTTTGGTAGCTCTGGAGGTCTGTTCTCCACTGTTAATACCTTTGAGCCACCTGGGCAACCAACTCCTGAGCCCCTAGATATGAGGGGCATTGTGCTGACCTCTATTTCCATGGTCCTGTGATTCTGGGCAGTCGCTTTCTGACCCGGTTGTGAGTCAGCCCGTTCTATGCCTGAGGTTCTGAACCCTGTGTTTCGGGCTCTGAGCGGTAGGTGTCATAGGTCTCCATTCTGTTCTAGTCTTCATCCTGGATGTTCAACCATTCCTAAACTGTAGGTCTCATTTGGGAGAGTGTAGTGGTTAAGATCTTGGTTGTGAGTGAAGCTATGTCACTAATTAGCTAGCTGTGTGACCTTGGGGAGGTTACCAAACTTCTCTGAACCTGTTTTCTCTATGGGAATAATGATGGTACTTACCTCACAGAGTTGCTGTGGAGCTGACATAATGCAGTCAAACACTTAGTAGGGAGCCAGGTGCTTAGAATGCATTCACTAGGCATATATATTATTGTTTACTTAGCATTTATCCTGCGGCCACTCTACAGAGAGCCAATATAATATAGTGGTGAAGGATGCACACTGTGGAGCTAGGCTGACTGGGTGTGAATACCTGAAGGCCAATATGCATGTGACCTTGGGTAGATTTATTTTTCTTTCCCTTTTTTAAATCCTCACCTGAGGACATTTTTCTATTTATCTTCAGATAGAGTGGGAGGGAGAAAGAAAGAGAAACATGGATGTGAGAGGGACACATCGACTGGTTGCCTCCCGCAGGACCCCAACCCAAGCCAGGGACGAACGGCAACCCAGGTGCCCTCAACCACAATTGAACCCACGACTCTTTGGTCTGAGGGTTGATGCTCAAACCGCTGAGCCAAATCTGCCAAGGCATTGGGTAAATGGTTTAACCTCCCAGGTGCTGTTTATTTCTGTGTAAAACAGAAATGCTATTGGTAGCTACTGCATAGGATGACCTGAGAATTCAGTGAGGTTATATATATATAAAGCACTTGGAACAGTTTCTGTTCAAGTTCAAATGTTCAAATGTTATCAAAACAGGTTCAAATGTTATCATTTGTGCTAAGCATTGATGATTAAGCATTGAGTTCTCAAACAGATTACAAGGACATTCATAAAAGCAGTTAAGCACTGGCGGGTGTGGCTCAGTTGGCTGGAGCATGGCCCTGTACCTTGAAGGATCATGGGTTTGATTCCTGGTCAGGGAATATACCTGGGTTGCAGGTTCGATCCCCAGTCAGGGCACATTTGGGAGGCAACAGATTGATGTTTCTCTCCCCCTCTCCCTTCCTCTCTCTCTAAAATCAATTTTTAAAATTAAAAATAAAAACATCTACTTAAAAAAAAAAGGAAGCCCTGGCTGGTGTGGCTCAGTCGGGTTGAATGTTGTCCCTTGCACCAAAAAGTCGCAGGTTCAATTCCCAGTCAGCTTGTGCAGGAGGCAGTCAATTGATGTTTCTCTCTTTTTCTCTCGCTAAAATCAATAGAAAAAAATATTTTTAAGAAGAGGATGAAAGACAAGCTGCAGAATGAGAGAAAATACTTGCAAACCACATATCCGACAAAAGATTAGTATCTAGGATATATAGAGAACTCTAAAAAAAGAAAAGCAGCCCTGGCCGGTTTGGCTCAGCAGTTAGAGCGTCGACCTGCGGTCCTGAGAGACCCGGATTTGGTTCCGCTAAGGGCGCGTACCTCGGTTGCAGTTTGTCCCCGGCCCTGGTCGGTCGTGCGGGTGGCAGCCACTCTATGTGTCCCTTCACATCGATGTTTCTCTCTCTCTCTCTGTTCCTCTCTCTCCCTCCCACTCTACCTGAACAAAAAAATGGGAAAATGTCCTCGGGTGAGGATAAAAAAAAAAAAAGAAAAAAGAAAAGCATCGGTGGCCAGCCTGGCTCATGGGGGAGACAACCAACCAATCCATGTGTCTCTCTCACATGCATGTTTCTTTATCTCTCTCCTCCCCCCTTTCACTCTCTAAAAATCAATGGGAAAAATATCCTTGGGTGAGGATTAACAAAGAGACAAACAAAAAGCAGTTTATCATGTAGTAGATGAAATTATGGAGATATAAAGTATATGAGAGTAAAAAGGATGGGACTGCTAACCAAGAACAGACCAGTTAGGAAAGGAACATGTCCTGAAGGACACTTGGCTAAATCTTAAAGAATGACTAGGAATTGGCCCGAGAGGTGTTTCTGTAGGATGGGAGTGGGTTTGCTGCACATAGAAGGCATTCCAGACAGAGCTGGCATAAAAAAACCCAGAAGCAGTAGATGGGTTTGGGGAAGTTCAAAGACTTCAGGGTTGGTGCAGCCAGAATGAAAGCATGGAGAAAAGCCAGGAGGAGTTGGTACCAGATCACAGAGGCCTTGTAGGCCAAGTTAAAGAATGTAAGTGTTAGCCTAGGGACAGGCCAGTAATGGAGAGCCAAGTAGGAGAGAAGCAGGAGAGGAACAAGGTCAGATACTCATTTTAGAAAAACCACCCTGGCAGCAATGTGGAGGAGGCTTTGAAGGAAATGGGACATGAAGCACTGAGACTGGTTCCAGCAGCCCAGTTGACAAGTGTCAAGAGACTGAAATAAGGATGAAAAGAATTCAAGAAACACTAATAGAATTGCAAAAGTTGGTGACTGATTAGATACTGAGGCAAAGGAAAGGAAAGACAGGAAGAGAGGTTTTAAGCCTGGGAGAGTTTTTTGGATGGTGATGCCACTAATGAAGATGGAGATGACAGGAAGAGGAGCAATTGAGGGCAGGAGCAAGAGGGTGGGAGAGAGAGATGGTGAGTTCAGTTTAGGACATGTTTTTTTTGTTTGTTTGTTTTTTGTTTTTGTTTTTGTTTTTTTGTTTTGGTACGTTCCCCTAGTGGGAACCCAACCCAGGACTCTCTGTTCCGCAGGCTGACTCTCCAACCGCTGAGCCAAACCGGCCAGGGCTAGGACATGTTTTTGAGGTGCCTGAGAACAACCTGAAGGAACCATCCAAACACACTTGGAAATGATAAGTCTGGAGGTAGAGTGAGAGGCCTGGGCTGGAGGGATGAATTTGGGAGGTGTGTCAGCTTTATTGAGGAGTCGAACTATGAGAATCAATTAGGGGGCTCAGAGAGAGAGTGTGTAGAGTGAGAAGAGGGTCAAGGAGAATACAGTGCAGCAGAGGATTCAGGTTTGATTACTTACAAGATTTTTTTGGTCATTGGCTACTTTGGTTAGACAGTGTATGTGGGTTGTGGGAGGTGGGAATCCAAGCTGAAGGGGCTAAACTGGCACGTACTGTGTGTCTCAAGTACTGTGCTACAAGCTTCACATTTTGAGATGACAGAGTCAGGAGACGTGGGGACAATACACCTCAGCCAAAATTTCCCTTGGACATTCCTTACCCCTATTCAGTACAGCTTATGTTAGTTTTGAGTAAAATATGGTATGTGGCAGCACAAATACAGGTGGAGCAAAGTAAATTTATCGTTGTTTGTACAGAAAATAATACAATAATTAATAAATAATAATAAAAGAATAAACTCTGTTTCATGTAGTCATAATTGTAAACCTACATTTGCCCCATGCTGCACAATGATGTATAGAATAAAATGTTATAATTTTTTTATGTTTATTGATTTTTTTTTTTTTTTTTTTTTAGAGAGGAAGGGAGAGAGACAGAAACAACGATTGGTTGTCTCCCATATGTGCCCTGACTGGGGATGGAACCTGAAACCAGCAATCTAACCCCCAACCTTTTTGGTATATAAGACAATGCTCCAAACCCGGCCGGTGTGGCTCAGTGGTTGAGTGTTGACCCATGCACAAAGAGGTCACCAGTTTTGATTCCTGGTCAGGGTGCATGCCCAGGTTGTGGGCCTGATCCTCAGTGGGGGGCATGCAGGAGGTGGCCAAGCAATGTTGTCTCTCATCAATGTTTCTATCTCTCTCTCTGAAACCAATAATAATAATAGTAATAATAATAATAATAATAATAATAGATGATGCTCCAATCAACTGAGACACCTGGCCAGGACAAAATTTTATAGTTTAATTAAGGAGGGGAAAAAAAGCACATTAATAAGAAGGATGTGGCCCTGGCCAGTTTGGATCAGAGGTTAGAGCATTGGCCTGTGGACCAAGGTATTGCAAGTTTGATTCCTGGACAAGGGCACATACCTGGGTTGCAGGTTTGCTCCCTGGCCCTGGTTGGGGTTGTGCAGGAGGCAACCAATAGATGTGACATATTGATGTCTCTCTCTCTCTCTCTCTCTCCCTTCCTTCCACTCTATCTAAAAATCAATGGAAAAATATCCTCAGGTGAGGATTAACAACAACAGAAATGTGACCTGAACACTTGTCATTCACTCAACCTGGATGTTCTTGTCAGTGTGACAACCAAAATAATGATATAATGCCTATGGATATTGATCTATGATGAATATGAGTACAGATCTGTGTGATAACCAAATGGATGAAGGCTTAGGGGACAGAGAAACAAATGAGCCTAAGCCATAGCTGACTCTAGTTCAGCTTGAGAAATTACTGGTTGTTTAAAACATGGTATTCACCAACTGTTGCCACTGGATCCTGAATTACTCAAACATTTGTTGACAATAACTGAAATATTCCATAATGCTACAAAAATAGTTTTAACTTTGTACTTTTTTTAAACATGTAACATATGTAAAGTCTGCTAATCTTAAATAGCTAAATTAATTTTTACATATTTATATACTATGTGACCACCATTTACATCAAG